TGCAGGAAAACATATATTTTCCTGTGATTCAAGGAATAACGGTCCATTAGAAGTTTCTTGAAAGACATTCTCCTACTGGCCATGAGTTTGGTTACACAGATGCAATTGTTTTAGCAGCATCAAGCTAAAGGAAAATCCAAACAAAGGCCAAGACCGCAAGATTAAAACTATTCACGATTTTAATTTTTAATGTCCTAACAAAGCTTGGTAAGACATTTCCAAAAATAATTAATCCACATTATTTGCTATAGTGTTTGGGAAGTATTTGTTGCCACTGTTTGTTACAATATTGGGAAAATAACTTGTTAGATTATTTCTTATTATTTATATATATAGGAAAGCTTGGAGAAGATAATGATGCTGGGGAAAATGGAAGGAAAAAGGAAGAGGGGCTGACCAAGGGTAATATGGATGGATGGTATCCTTGAAGTGACTCTGGTGTGGACTGGTCCATGAGGTCAAAAAGAGTTAGTAATGACTGAATGAACAAACAACAAATTATTTGTTGCTTTGATTGTTGCTTTTTTCATTCCTCCTTGTTGTACAACATGTTTGATAAAAGACTGACAAAATTTGAAAACCTCCATATAACTCTAAAATGCATTTTAACTAATTTGTTTAGCAAATTATAGCCCATTTCTCCTATGAGGTGCTAATAAGACACTGCCACATGTTGCATCAACAGCCATTCTCATTGTTATGTAACTTTTAAAGTAGTAACTTTATTACAACTTTATTTCCACAATTGTAACTCGGTTGTTGCAAGCTCCATGTTTTGCTATATCTACTTGAATAAAAAAAAACTTAGAATAGCCATAAACCAGATGTTTGTATAATTGTACCAGGTAATTCCTTAGAGTGAAATTTTGAATGTATGTACACAGAAGCAATGGGATGCATTTCTATGTAAAGAGATTCCATTGCAATGAAACTTGAGTTCAAAAAAGCCAGTGATTGAAGAGATAGAGGCGCCTTCTACACTGCCAGATAATTCAGGTTATCAAGGCAGAAATATATTCTCTCCTCCCTTCCAGATAAAATGTATGACTAGATCAGTGATGCTGTTCTTGATGCCTATATTAAGGTTGATCCAGATGTCAACGTGGCTTGTTGCAAGTGTATATGTGATTTAGCTGAATGTAAGAAGGAGAACAAATCATAAATCACTTATACTGCCTCCTTTATTAGGATTTTTGCACATCACATTTTTTTCTTCTTCTTAAGTACTCAATAAAAATCCAGATGCTAAGTTTTGCAGGAGAAATGCCATTTCTCATCCTGAGCAACAATAATGTGTTACTGGGAAAGTGCAGTAATATAGATGCAGTCTAGTCAGTGACATTTTCTGCTGTCAGCATTCTTCACTGTATTTTAATGGGGTGCACTGGAGAAACTTTACAGCACTTCATAAAATATTTTGCTACAGCTTCCCAATTAAATTCCCACACCATGCTCTAATAGACTGCTATGCCCCAGAGCATAGTATCACCTTATTCTATATTAACTTTCCTTTGTGTCAGTCCCCAAGATGATGAATGTGCTAAAACTCACATTAGCGGGTACAAAATGCATTGGCTCACTTTGTGGGCAGTATTGGAAACACAGGTATACAATTTTCATGGGACAAAACCGGGTTTCTAGGCCTTGATTTTAGTTTTTAATGCTTTACATGGCTTGTGATTTATGCATATAAGAGAGTATTTCTCACTACATGTGCCCACATGCCACTTGCCTTTGCTGCATCAGATAAGAATAACAACAGCTACCATCATTTCTAGGAGCCCCCGGTAGCGCAATGAGTTAAACTGCTGAGCTGCTAAACTTGTTGACCAAAAGGTCGCAGGTTTGAATCTAGGGAGTGGCTTGAGCTTCCGCTGTCAGCCCCAGCTTCTGCAAACCTAGCAGTTTGAAAACATGCAAATGTGAGTAGATCAGTAGGTACCACTTCGGTGGGAAGGTAATGGCGCTCCATGCAGTCATGCCAGCCACATGACCTTGGAGGTGTCTATGGACAACGCCGGCTCTTCGACTTAAAAATGGAGATGAGCACTACCTCCCAGAGTCAGACATGACTGGACTTAATGTCTGTGGAAAACCTTTACCTTTACCTACCATCATTTCTACATGCTGGAAATATCTGGTCTTGAGAATCAAGAGTTTGAAAAGACCAAAAGTGGTATTCGGCTTTAGGGAGAAACCGCATTCTTATTAAGTCATATTTCACAAAAATCATAAAACTTTTCTAATTCACATTCACCTTTTTACAGGCAGATTTAAATATATTGCTGGCCCACCTTATTATTGTTGAAACGTATTTGTAAACAATGTATTATAATCTGGAAGAGTCACTTAGAAATGTCCCCACCCCCCCCCCCAAATAAACCATTGTAAAATATTTGCATGCTAAAATTAGAAAACAAATACCAAAACTGAGCAGTGCGTGCTCCAAATCATAAAAGGCTAAACATATGTGTTTGGCATTCTAAGTAGAAATCGTTTATCAAGGCACACTGTGAAGGTAAGACTAGCATAATGTAATACAAATAGAGCCATCTTTGCTCAGAATCCGTTTTGCATGCACTCAAGAGTCGTGCAGTGCTTTGAGTATTGGACTGTGGCTGCATCTACAGGCAGTCCCCAAGTTACAGACAAGATACGTTCTGTAGGTTTGTCCTTAAGTTAAATTTGTGTGTAAATTGGAACAGATACATTTTAGAGTGTAACTCCACACACACACATATGCATGCAGAACCATAGAATCCCATGGAAAGTAATGGTTTTAACTCAAATCACTGTCTCTTGCATCCTATGGGGTTTGGGGCAGAACAATAGGGTTTCGTGGAAAGCAATGGTTTTAATCTGGACCGCTGTCTGTTGTATCCTATGGGGTTTGGTGCAAAACAATAGGATGCTATGGAAAGCAATGGTTTTAACCTGGAGCACTGTCTCTTGTGTCCTATGGGCTTTGGGGCAGAACCATACGATCCCATGGAAAGCAAAGGTTTTAACTCAGATCGCTGCATCTTATGGGGTTTGAGGCAGATCCATAGGATCAATGGTTTAAAGTAGTGTCAGTCTCCTTTACTGTAAGGGGCTTTGGGCAGAGCAAGTAATCTCGTGGTTTTCAGATATTGTTGTTTCTCTTGATTCAAAACAAATAAAGTAATACTGACCTTGTAACGAATGTAAAAGATGAATGTATTGCCAGATGTTAAGTTTCTACAGTGCAAGTCTGATGGGGAGACAGAACTCCAAAGAGGGAGATTCTCTCCCTTAAAGGGGCAATCACTCATGCTTTCCTCTCTCAATGTGATGAGGTGGTAACTAAGCACCCTTCCAGACAGCCTTCCAGACAGCCATTCTGCCAGAATATCAAGGCAGAAAATCCCACCATATTTGCTTTGAACTGGAACATCTGAGGGCCCTTCCATGCAGTCCTATATCCCAGAATATCAAGCCAGGAATCATAGAGTTGGAAGAGACCTCATGAGCCATCCAGTCCAACCCCCTGCCAAGAACCAGGAAAACTGCATTCAAAGCACCCGCAACAGATGGCCATCCAGCCAAAGAAGGAGGCTCTACCACACTCGGGAGCAGAGAATTCCACTGCTGAACAGCTCTCAGTCAGGAAGTTCTTCCTAATGTTCAGGTGGAATGTCCTTTCTTGTAGTTTGAAGCCATTGTTTCGCGTCCTAGTCTCTAGGGCAGCAGAAAACAGGCTTGCTCCCTCCTCCCTATGACTTCCTCTCACATATTTATACATGGCTATCATGTCTCCTCTCAGCCTTCTCTTCTTCAGGCTAAACATGCCTAGCTCTTTAAGCCGCTCCTCATAGAGCTTGTTCTCCAGACCCTTGATCATTTTAGTCACCTTCCTCTGGGCACATCCCAGCTTGTCAATATCTCCCTTCAATTGTGGTGCCCAGAATAGGACACAATATTCCAGGCAGAATAGAGGGGTAGCATTACTTCCCTGGATGTAGAATCCTATTGATGCACGCCAAAATCTCATTGTCTTTTTTTGCTGCTGCATCACATTGTTGGCTCATGCTTAACTTGTTGTCCACGAGGACCCCAAGATCTTTTCTCCATGTACTGCTCTCGAGCCATGCGTCCCTAATTCTGTTTTTTTGCATTTCATTTTTTCTGCCTAAGTGAAGCATCTTGCATTTGTTGCTGTTGAAGATGCTGTTGTTGTTCATTCGTTCAGTCGTTTCTGACTCTTCGTGACCTCATGGACCAGTCCACGCCAGAGCTCCCTGTCGGTCGTCACCACCCCCAGCTCCTTCAAGGTCATCCAGTCACTTCAAGGATCCCATCCATCCATCTTGCCCTTGGTCGGCCCCTCTTCCTTTTTCCTTCCATTTTCCCCAGCATCATTAGTCTTCTCTAAGCTTTCCTGTCTTCTCATGATGTGGCCAAAGTACTTCATCTTTTCCTCTAATATCCTTCCCTCCAATGAGCAGTCAGGCTTTATTTCCTGGGTTTTTTGGGCTATATGGCCATGTTCTAGAAGCATTCTCTCCTGACATTTCACCTGCATCTATGTCAAGCATCCTCAGAGGTTGTGAGGTCTGTTGGAACTAGGAAAATTGGGTTTATATATCTGTGGAAGGTCCAGGGTGGGAGAAAGAACTCTTGTCCATTGGAGTTAGGTGTAAATGTTTAGCTGATCACCTTCATTAGCATTTGAAGGCCTGCCTGAGCCTGGGAAAATCTGTTGCTGGGAGGTGTTAATCTGTGCCTGGTTTTATTTCTTGAAGTCAGGCTTTATTTCTTGAAGTATGAAGTAGTGAAGATACACTCAGATAATGTTGGAAATCCCACATTATCTGAGTGTGGACTCAGATAACCCAGTTCAAATCAGATATTGTGGGATTTCCTGCCTTGATATTCTGGGATATAGGGCTGTGTGGAAGGGCCCCCAGAGAGCTGTCAAAGTCTATTAACTGAACGCCACAAGGAAGAGCTGGCTGAGCAGCTCCTCCTCCAAAGGCAAGGCGAGGCAAGGCAAGGCAAGGAGGAGGGGCCGCCGTGGTAGGCCGCACCCCCGGCCTCTCCTCTTTGAGCTCATGGTGGCCTCAGGCGGAGGAGGCCGAGGATGGCTGCCCCTTCGCCTCCCTCCCGGCCGCGGGCCTTGGTGGCGGCGGAGCTTGGCGGCGGGACTCAGGCCTCTCAGCGGCTCCTGGCCTACAGCGACGCCCTCCTCTCCATCATCGCCACTGTCATGGTGAGTGAGGCCTTCCCGCTCCGTGGCGCCCTTGGAGGGTCTTGTCTCCCCGGGGTCCAGGGAAGCAGCTCCACCGCTGGACCTCGGCCTGCCTGAAAGGAGAGAGAGGCCTTGCTTGCCTTGGGACAAGAGGGCGCCCAAGAACTATTTGCATGAATCTTCCCACAGGTGGAATTCATGCACTCTGCCTCCAATTAAACTATTGAAGCCCTGTGGCCATGTGGGGTGAACCCTTGTGCTGGCAGGACTGCTGACCGACAAGTCAGGGGTTCGAATCTGTGGAGAGCAGGTTGAGCTCCCTCTGTTAGCTCCAGCTCCCCATGCAGGGACGAGAGAAGCCTCCAACAAGGATGGTACAAAAACATCAGGGCGTCCCCTGGGCAACATCCTTGCAGTTGGCCAATTCTCTCACACCAGAAGCGACTTGCAGTTTCTTAAAAAAAAAAAAACCACTTGAACTGCCCTGGTTCAAAGCTGTGGCGTCCTGGGAGTTGTACTTCGAAGGCAAAAGACAGGGTCAAATGCAAGATATGCCACTTAGGCAGGAAAAAAAGCACCAGGACTGTGGCGCAGCTGGCTGGGAGTCAGCTGCATTAAGATCACTACTGACCAAAAGGTCATGAGTTCGTAGCTAGCCCGGGTTGGAGTGAGCTTTCAACCAATTTGTGTAGCTTGCTGTCGACCTTTGCAGCCCGAAAGACAGTTGCATCAGTCAAGTAGGAAATTTAGGTACCCCTTATGTGGGGAGGCAAAATTTAACTAATTTACAAGGCCATAAAAATCTCCAGCAAGCTTGCAAAGAATGAGGAAGTATGTATTGTCGAAGGCTTTCATGGCTGGAATCACTGGGTTGTGATTCCCCCGGTGGCGCAGTGGGTTAAAGTCCTGTGCCGGCAGGACTGAAGACCAATAGGTCGCAGATTCGAATCGGGGGAGAGACGGATGAGCTCCCTCTATCAGCTCCAGCTCCTCATGCGGGGACATGAGAGAAGCCTCCAACAAGGATGATAAAAACATGAAATCATCCTGGCGTTCCCTGGGCAACGTCCTTGCAGACGGCCAATTCTCTCACAACAGGAGCAACTCCTGACACGACAAAAAAAAAACTGGATTGTTGTAGGTTTTTTCGGGCTATATGGCCATGTTCTAGAGGCATTCTCTTCTGACCTTTTACCTGCATCTATGGCAGGCATCCTCAGAGGTAGTGAGGATGCTTGCCATAGATGCAAGCGAAATGTCAGGAGAGAATGCCTCTAGAACATTGCTATATAGCCCGAAAAAAACTACAACAACCCAATGAGGAAGTGCTTCATCAGTGCCACAAATAGTCAGTGAAGGGACAGCTCTCCTAGTGGCCGGAATACCCTCAAGAAAAAGCTGGGATGTTAAATAGCCTCTGTGTGTCTGTCTATATATGTTGTGTGTCTATGGCATTGAATTTTTCCCATGTATATGTACACTGTAATCCACCCTGAGGTCCCTGCAGGGTGAGAAGGGTGGAATATAAATACTGCAAATAAATAAATGAAATGAAATGAAATGAAATGAAATGAAATGCAAAGATACAGAATGGGGGACGCCAGGCTCGTGTGAAAAAGATCTTGGGAGTCCTTGAGGACACTGAATCATTTTCACACTCAATTGGTTAAAGGGCAAACAGGCAACTTCACATCCTGGTCTGTATCCTCAGCCCTCCCTTTGTCTGGAACTTATCAGTAGGAACTGTTTGTCCCAGTGGGCAAGGGGAAAGTCCAGCTTGTCAAGACCATCTGTGTCTAGCAGGGCGGGTCACAATTTACTCACAATAGCATACAGCTAGGGCAGTTCAAGGTTTTTTGTTTTGTTTTGTTTTGTTTGTTGTTGTTGTTTTTGCTGTGAGGAAAAACTTGAGAAACTGCAAGTCACTTTTGATGTGGCTGTCTGCAAGGATCTTGCCCAGGTGATACTCAGATGTTATACCATCTGTTGGAGGCTTCTCATGTCCCCGTATGAGGAGCTGGTGCTGGCAGATGGGATCTCACCCCAGTCCCCAGATTCGAACCGCCAACTTTTCAGTCTGCAGTCCTGCCGGCACATAGGTTTAACCCATTGCGCCACTGGGAGCTCCAGTTCAAGGGGTGACAAACGGCTTTAAATCTACAGTAAAGATGTAGTATATGGCTAAAGTCGTGCCAGGGCTGTCAGGAATATAACTCATCCTGGTACTGTTCCATTATCCAGGCAGAGGTCACTAGGGGGCACTAGAAAGAGGATAGTTGTTGTGGGGTGGGGGGGAGTTGAAGGAAGAAAACCATTTCCCCTATTTTTGCTGGTTATTTCCCCTCCTTCACTTCCCATATCATGAACGAGGGTTGTTTTCACAACTGGGGCATGGGGGGGGGGGGATAACAGGAAAACAGAGGGAAATGGTTTCCCCCCTTCAACCTACCCTCCACCCCCATAAATCTCAGCTCTCTCTTCCCTACCTGTTACTTCATTTATTTGTATTTTTCCCAATGTGGCTTTAGCAGTATGTTTCCTATTTCAGATTTTGCCTGTGGCCCATATGAAGATACATCCAGATCAGGTACTATGTGTTTTATATTATGTTCGGAGTTTAGCCATGATTGGTTTTAGTCAATGAAGTTGCAATTCAAATATCATCGTCCTTTTTCTTATTGAGGTGTGAAATCCTCAATAAGAAATCCTTATTGATAAGATGCATCTCTAACAGTAGTACTGAGAGCCTTTTAGCCTTCCAGAAATGCTTGAGACTAGCACCAGTCTTCCATATTTGCATGTTTAACTTTTGTGGATTGGATTATTCCTGGATTTGATTAATATCTTCTCTCTAGGAATCTCTAGGTTCTCCAGAGGAATGTCTGGCAGAAGTTGACCATGGAGTCATTCTGGGGGATCTAGGGATGATGATAATAATGATGATGGTGGTGATGATGTTTATTTATATTCTGCCCTAGCTCCGCTGGGGGACTCAGGGTGGATTCCAACAAACAAAAAGGCAAACATTCAATGCCTCAATAACAATAAGAATCCTCCTCTAGACATTTGTAGGTCTTCCAGGACATATCTATGGTCACCATCTGGTTACACTGGAGAGGTGCTCTCTTGGGTAAAAGAAATATTAATTTAATTTGCAATTTTTCCACCTTTGTGTGGGCTCTGTGTCCCCAACTCATCTAATGTAGAAAACGAATTGTAAAAATCCCACTATCCTTCTGTCTGGGCCTTTGTGAGTGGAACTATTGAAATACAGGCAGTCCACAAGTTACAAACATCCGACTCACAAATGACTCATAGTTAAGAATGGGCGTGAGACAACTAAGAGAGAAATCTATCCGTAGGAAGAGAAATTCATGGGGAAATGTGTCTCAGTGATGTTGGACTATAGCTGCCATCATTCCTAACCATTGATTTTGGTGGCTGTGGAGAATGGCGTTTGCAGTCCAACGGCATCTAGGGACCTAAAGGTGGGAGTTCCTGTCCTCTTATTTTGCCCATGTATCTTCCAAATTACAAACAATACCCCATATTGCAACTTGGTTAGCTGATTTTGTACAGGTCTGAGGATGTTCCTTTTGAGAACAGAAACAGCAGAAAGCACTGTATTTTTTCGTAACAAACAAGCACAAGGCCTCGATGATTAAGCACTGACTCACCCTAAATGATGAACACTACTCAGCCCCCCTCCCATTTCCTTGAAAACTGAAACTGGCCTATCTGAAAACGTTCCAACAAGAAATAACAGTCAACATTATGTAATATCACCCACTTATCACCTGACCACTTTCACATTGGAGTGGTTAATTATTAGAAAGTACACTTAGAGAAAATAGCCTTCTTATGACCTGTGGTCTTGAAACTTTTAAAATGAATCATGTGTTTCGGAAACAGAATATACAGTGAAGAAAGGCTTCCCACAAAGTGCACGTTCTGTGGCCAGTCTTATCACACAAAACAGCCAGGAGTTACCTAAGTTTGAAACAGCTGGGAGAGCGAGTGACATTGCATCTAAGCAGACACAGAGTGGAATGAATAGGAGCTGTCCTTTGCTTTTTATGTGAAAAGACTGCTGGATGTGGGAGGTAAAGAGAATCATAGATTCAGTGTGTAAATCCATGCCATGGTGCTTACATGAAAAATAGGATTAAGCAGAGGCACATAATCAATGTGATTAGTTGAATAGTTTTACCTGCAGCTGTGAGGATGGAGAACAAACTTTTAAAATTAGTTACTACAGATTGAGTATCCTTATTTGAAATGCTTAGAACCTGAAGTGTTATGGATTTTAGATTTTTTTTAATACTAATATTTGTATATAGCAGTGGTCCCCAACCTTTTTTGACCAGGGACCACTTTGACCAGCAACCACTCTCCAACATTGGTACCAAAAGGGTTAAAAATTAATTTTTGGTCAACTTTAAATTCAGTTTGGTTTTTTTGGGGTGCTGATTCAGAAAATTGCATTGGATAGACCACGTCAGCTCTAGTTTCTGATACAGAACATATGCCATCTAGTAGTCACATCTGTTCGCCCACAGAAAACCATATTTAATAATCTAGAGCTGATGTGATCTATCCAGTGCAATTTTCTAAATCAGCACCCCAAATAACCACAAGAACATGCCTAAAAAAGACACCAAGAAAAAAAAATTGGTTGGGCTGTGTTATTATTTGTGGATTTTGTTAACACTTGTGTTAAAAAAAAGAAAGGAAGGAAAGGGGGTTGCGGATGAAAAAAAATACAAAAAACGAAGCACAAGACCCAAGAAACGGTCCCTAATGACTTTAATAATAATAATAATAACAACAACAACAACAACAACAATAACTTTGGGGAACTAAACAGGATCTTACAAAGGACTGCTTTCCCATTACAATTCTTCTGTTTGGCAGTGGGAGCTAATAATGATAATGATAATAATAATAATAACTTTGGGGGACTCTCCTTCTCTTTCTCGCTCTCCTCCAACGGTGCTGGGGAAGCCACGAGAACTGCGCTGGCCTCCCTCCTCCCTCCCTCCCTCCCTCCCTCCCTTCCGTCCTTCTCTCCCTCTCCTTCTCTCTCTCTTTGTCCTCAAATGGCAGCAGTCACACCTGGCCACAGACCTTATGGTATATAGATATGAAATTTCTTGGAGATTATTATTACTGTATATTTATATCCCACCTTTTCTCTCGTAAAGGAGACTCATAATTCTAAACATGACATTCATTCATATTCCATATACTGTATACTTTATACTCAGAGCTTGAAGGTAATTTGTATTATATTTAAACTTTGTGTACACAGAAGCATCAGAAAGCAAAGATATTGCTCTCTCAGTCACCCACGTGAATTTTGGATTTTGGTGTATTTGGATTCTGTGTAACAAATGTTCAGCTGGTACCATGAGTTCATGGGCTGAATATTTCCCTATTCAGATGTCTTTTTTATCTCATAAGCTGTCTAGCTTTTAAATCTTGAGTAAACCAAAGGGATGATAATTCATTTATTTTACAACGTGGAAGCTCCTATCATAAGGAAAATGACTTTGCTGTGTCATTTCCCCTTTTTCTTCTTGGTACAAAAAGTAATTGGATGTTTCAGTAGTTCTTTTGGTCAGTGGCAGAAGTTTGATATCTGCTTTATTTTCTTTCAGGAACTCGATGAAAGTGTCCAACAGCTCCTAGCCACCAAAATTGCTGTGTATCTGATGACTTTTTTAATAGTGACAGTCGCCTGGGCCGCTCATGTCAGGTATGTTGCTGAGTTGAAAAGGTGGTTTTTAAAAGATAAGCATGCCAACTTCTTTGCAAAATGTAGCTCCCAGGTTAACGAGAAGGAAGGCATGGCATAACATAGATTACAGATTGTTATTTGACAGAAGGTCTAAAGAAGATTTTCAGGTCTTTAATTGCCTTTACAAACAAGTTGGTAGTTAGTTCACAAAAGAACACATGAAGACCTAAAGTCTAATAAGTAGATGTCCAATTCAGCTAAAACACATGCCATTTCAGGGCCCACTGTCAGCTAACCCCTCATTTTGTTTACTGGAAAGTTACTCGAATCAGGAGGGTTGTTGCCTTTTTCATTCTGCAAAGAATGGCTACAATGAGAAACTTTAAAGGCTCAATACTCAGTCATTTTAAGGCCTATCTGCATGAAACCTACCTCAGTTGTAGATTCCATTTACAAATGCAGGACTGCCACATTTCAAAACAATTTACCAATCTACTGATTTTTTAGAATTATTATAAGTTTTAACCATAACATTTTTTTAAAACATAAGACAAACCACAAGCAAGGGTTCTGGGAATTGTAGTCGCTGGTTGTGTCCATTCTCAGCCAATCAAAGCATGGACACCACCAGTTTTTTTATTAGCTAAGAAACAGAGAAAAACCTCAACTCCCACCATGCTCTGAGAGGAACTCAGACAATTTTCAGTGCCCGACCCATGCAAGTGCTGCTGAGAAAGCAAGTTCCCAGCAAGGCCCTCTCTGGAAGAGAAGCCTAGGAAACTTTACTAAAAGAAATGGATGGATGCTGCCACTGCCATAATCCCATCTTCTCCCAGGAGCCCCACAACAACCCCTGCCTCAGGTATATTGCAGACATAACTCTTCCCTCTCCAGTAGTAAATAAAATCTGTCTCTCTTAATCCGTTTTGTGAGACTTTTCAACTCCCTCCTCCCCGTTCTGTTTTTGGAGATTATATGAAACAGACCACTGAATATTACATATCATTTTCGTTCAACCTGATTCGGGCCCAGGCCTGTTAATAAGTCCAGTACCATATGCTTCCAAAAGCACTCCAGCCTTTAGCAATGGTGACATTTCAGAAAAGAAAGTTCTAAAATTCAGCTGCTAAGTAGAAATATGTTTGAAATCAAATTATGAAACTGTAAACCTTCTAAAAGGGCCATTTGTCAGACTTAGAGATTGCATATTCAGTGAAGTGAAAACATTTTGTGTTTGCTTTACTAGACAATTATTGGGGCTTTCTCTTTCTTTCTCCCTCTCACTCAGACTCTTTCAAGTTATTGAACTCATAGATGACGTACTTGCCCTTCTCAACTTGGTAAGTGAAAGCAAGCTTTGTTCAAATATATGTCAGAAATATCAACAATACTGCAACATAATATTCCCAGCAATGAGCATTAGTAAGAGCTTCAATTGAATGCTGGGATTTGCAGTCTTTGTCATTTAGAATTCTCAACCACAGAGCTGAGAATTAACTCCGGGATTCTGTATGTACAGCCATAATGATTAAAATGAAATTAAAGTGCTGTAAGACCTCATTTACGCTGACAGTTTAATACAGTTCAAAGCTTGCTTCAAACTGCGGCGGACAAACACAAACTCCCACAAAAGTATGTGAAAGAAAGCCCTTCCTGTGCATCAATGCCCTGTGGTTTGTAGAATCACCATCTGGGCCAAAACCGGTTCCAGGGCTTCTTATGTAACTACCTGCATGGTGAAACCAATTTCTAGAATCAGCTGGTCAAATATGTCCCAAAACAGGGCTAATATTTGAAGCACTGAAATGTGTATTGGCCAGTCAAATACATAAGCAGGGATTAGCTAGATTAGGATGTTAGAAATTGAAGACTTTGAAAGCAGTATATACAATTAATAAAGAATTAAAACCCATGCAGAAATTAGGCAACTTACTGTATATACCCGAGTATGAGCTGAGTTTTTCAGCCATTTTTTAGGCTGAAAAAGCCCCCCTCAGCTTGTTCTCGAGTCAAGGTTATTTATTATTTTACTCTGTTATTGTTATTATTTTATGACATTTAATATTTTACTCTATTTATTATTAATAATACAGTTACATTATTTTACTCTGTTATTATTGATTTTATTACATTTATTATTTTACTTTATTATTATTTTATTACATTTATTATTTTACTCTGTTTTTACTGTTATTATTACATTTATTATTCTACTCTTATTACATTTATTATTTTACTCTATTATTGTTATAATTACATTTCCATTGTTTTACTCTATTATTATTATTATTATTATTATTATTATTATTGGAAGGATACATAAGGACATTTGCATTGAAGAAGGTTAGAATGATGGTTAATCAGAGTTGGACAGTCTGATCTTAAATTACAGTTTTTATGCAAATATTCAAAAACATTTAACCTACTGATGTCTCAACTAATGTAATTTTATTGTTCTCTGTTTTTATTTTGAAATTTACCAGTAGTTGCTGCATTTCCCACCCTTGGTTTATACTCAAGTCAATAGGTTTTCCCCAGGTTTTTTGTGGTAAAAATAGGTGCTTTGGCTTATATCTGAGTCGGCTTATACTCGAGTATATACTGTACTTTTTAAAATGCCTAGATGAGAACCAGCATTTATATGGTTAAATATAAGCACAAAATGCAATCTCCGTTAATGTTAGCATATGTATCTACAAGTGGATTCAAAAATACACCAAAGCAGTAATCCAAAAAAATTACTCCCCCACCTCTCACTTTGTTATGAAGAGTAATGTGAGAACATTAATATAATTGTATTAACATGCACAGTGTCCTACTTGGTACTGAACCCCATCTTTTCTATCTTAGGCCTGTATGATGCTTATTACTTTTTTGCCATACACAGTAAGTAAGCATTCTCCTTCTGTTATGTCGAAATGATTGTTTTGTTTGATTACTTAGAAAATGAACTTTTGAAATAGCAATTCTAAGCATATAGTTACAAACCTTAATATCCTCAAGGCATCACGCAGCCTCTGCCAGGATAATGTGTAAAGCATATATGTTTCTTTATTGCTAAGAATAAGATTATTAGACAGCTGACACTGAAGCTTTTTCCTTTTAAAAATCAATTTGTTTTGAGTATAGTGGCAGAGCGGGTTAAACCGCTAAGCTCCTGAATTTGCTGACCGAAAGGTTGGCAGTTTGAATCCGGGGAGCGGGTGAGCTCCCGCTGTTAGCCCCAGTTTCTGCCAACTTAGTAGTTCGAAAACATGCAAATGTGAGTAGATCAATAGATACCGCTTCTGCAGGAAGGTAACAGCGCTCCATGCAGTCATGCCGGCCACATGACCTTGGAGAGCTCTACAAACAACACTAGCTATTCAGTCTAGAAATGGAGATGAGCACCAAACCCCAGAGTCGGACATGACTGGACTTAATGTCAGGGGAAAACTATGAGGATTCCATCTTACACATTATGATATATATCACTTTTCATAATAATAAACAATTTTAGTCCTACTTTGATATTTTCCCCTAAAATTCACTCCAAAATTTATCCGTTGTCCCTCAACAATAATTTTTAGCCTTATCACAAGCAAATTGCAGTTTCTTCCAAAGTTGCTGTAACATTTCAGTTTCTTCTTTTCATGTCTTATAATCCATATCACTGAACTAACATTTTACTTGTCTTACAGTTCTCCTTAATGGCCTTCTTTCCGGACGTACCATTTGGCATTTTCTTGTTTAGTAGCTGTGCAGTTATAATCGGCGCTATCCAGGTATAGTTTCCTTTCATTTCTGTGTTTAAAATAGGGCTATGTAACACTAGGAAGAAAGAAACCATAGATGTAAATCAACAGATGGTGATGGCTGTCAGCAGACATAGGCATTGCTGTCCTTCTGAGAGTTTCTATTTGTTTCAAATTCTTAAAGGAGAAAATAGTTTTTCTTATGTGTTGTCGAAGGCTTTCATGGCTGGAATCACTGGGTTGCTGTGAGTTTTCCAGACCGTATGGCTATGTTCCAGAAGCATTCTCTCCTGATGTTTCACCTACATCTATGGCAGGCATCCTCAGAGGTTGTGAGGTCTGTTGGAAACTAGGCAAGTGAGGTTTATATATCTGTGGAATGTCCAGGATGGGGAGAAAGAACTAAATGGCCTTGCAGCTGCAAATCAGCTCCTTTCTTGGGAGCTGATTAGCTGGCTCTAATTGTTTCCTGTCTTGAATTCCCCAGTTTTCTGAGTGTTGTTCTTTATTTACTGTCCTGATTTTAGATTTTTTTTAAAAAAATACTGTTTGCCAGATTTTGTTCATTTCATTGTTTCCTCTTTTCTGTTGAAATTGTCCACATGCACAGAGAAGTTATTGAAATCCACAAGCATGTGGACAATTTGAAAGTTCAAGCCTCGTTTTCACTTAACACCAAACCATAGTTTGTTGCTACTTCTAAGCAACAGACTAATGTACAGTTTTCTTCACTCTGTAGGCCGTCATCGTTGTGTATGGTTTCCGCCGTCCATATTTACTTAATCCTGAAATACAAGAATCCGACAACCAAGAATTTTATAAATTCCACATCTTGAAGATTATACTGAGAGGACCAACACTGAGTTTTTTCGCAGCCATCTTCTCATTTTTCTTCATCCCATTGGTAAGTTGTTCTTCTTCAATCACAGCAGTGATTCTCAGATGGTTTGTCACAAAAGAGTAAAAAGTGAACCTTGCCAGGTTGAATGCCTTTGGCTTTCTCTGTCAGTTTGTAGAGGAGGCCTTCACAACCTGTGGCGGTGTTTGGGACTCCCAACTCCCAGACGCCCTAGCCAGTTTATGCAATGGTCAGAGATCCTGGGAGCTGAAGTCCAAAAAACCTGGAGGGCCACAGATTGTGCAGACCTGATGTAGAGAAACCAGGCAAGAGGATGTTACTGGACTTTCTTTCTGGGTCTTGGTGAGGCTCTCAGGACTTAACAAAGCTCTCGGGAGCATTATGTATTCCAAGAAAGCAAACAACATGGTCATATTTTATTTGGCTGCGTATTTTTAATTGTAATTTTTATTCAACATTTCTTTGGCTGGGTATTGAATCTTCTTATGGGAATCTCAGATGGCTTCTACACTGTAATATTAATGCAGTTTGATACTACTTTAATTTCCATGGCTCAGTGCTATGGAATCCTAGCATTTGTAGTTTGGTCAGGAAACAGAACACTTTGACAAAGAAGGCTAAATATTTTTCTCAAAACTATAATTCCTGTGATTCCATACCATTGAGGCATGACAGTTAAAGTGGTGTCAAACTGTATTAATGCTACAATTTATATACACCTTCAGTTAACTTGACAAACACCATTGCAACATTCCAATTTGACAGAGTCTTTGCTTTATGCAACAAGTGAGAGTACCTAGTGTCTTTCAAAGCCATTATTTCATCTGTGTTTAAAAGAGTCAAGGGCACACTGTCTGGCAATTCTGGGAGTTGTAGTACAAAACCTGGATTTTTTCGATGATGATTTGAATCATGGCTCTCCAGAATGGGGATGAGTGCTGCCAGATATTGAATTTATGATAGCCACCCTTATTCTATGAATTGTATTGGAAGAGTAGTACTATGTTGGTGAGTCTGATAATGTTGTATGTTACTAGTGGCATTGAATGTTTACCACTATGTTTTATTTTGCTGGAAACTGCCCTGAGTCCCCTTGGGGAGATGGGGTGGGTTATCAATAAAGCAGTGTTATTGTTATATGTTTTATGCATCATAGGAAACTAATCTGCTGAGAGACCAGTGTTGCTTAAAAATATACATGCAAATGATAAAATAACTGTTCTTGGTATGAACTATTCATGGCATAGAATTAACTGAAAGGTTTCAGAGCTGTTTTTTCCACGGGAGCCATTTAACAGTGAATAGTACAGTTAAATCCAATGAGCTGGGACCCTCTACTCATCCAGAATATGGTTTATCAGAAAAGTAATATACACTCATATTTTGCAAATATTTTCTTGGAAAAAACAAGTATGAAGATTCCTGTGCAGTAAACAAGTTCTTATTTCCTTGCAGTCTTACATGTTTCTTGGGCTCGTAATTTTTTTCCCTCATGTCAGCCACCTAGTGAAATGGTTTAAAAGAAAATTTCTCGGTGAGTGTTCTTGTGCTTTTTATATATATACATAAAACTTCTAAAACTGCCAGTCGTTCAGAGGTTATAAAACTGGACGATCCTTGACAATAGGTTTTATGAATGGAATGAAAGTCATTTCAGATAGTAATTCCTAGTCAAGCCAAGCTACTTTACAGTAATCTTGTATGCTTTTAACTCCAGGCAGCCTTCCATGTTTGCAGGTTTAGCTTTTGTGGATTTGGTTATTTGTAGATTTTATTAATATGTTCTCCTTAGGAAGATCTAGGTCCTGCAGGGCTAGTCTGAAGTAAATTTCCAGCAGAGGTTGACTATGGAGTCATCTTAGAGATAACTAAAGAGATGTTCTCTCTGTTAAAAAAAAAGTTATTTTTTTTAAAAAAAAATCACATTTCCCCACTTTCCTGGGAGCTGTGCACCACTAACCCCTGAAAAAAGTTGGAGGGCCTACTGAATATTATAGTCTTAGTCCCAGACTTGTGGAAAAGCTTGATATAAAATAACATTGTTTTTGTTGTTGATGTTGTGGTTGCCTTCTTCTTCCTCCTTCTCCTCTCTTCGTTCTTCCTCACCTCCTTCTTCAACTACATCTTCTTCTTCATCAATCCTTATCCTCTGGGATGATCACCGAAGAACCTGTTTTGAGTGGAAAAGGGATAATATAGCAGCTAGTCCCAGCCAATGCAGTGGTGTGCACTTTGCTGCCCATTCTCTCCTATTTGCACAGGATTTTTTCCTTAGTGGGTTGGAGGCAAAGTAAAAATACTATCAAGGCATGAAGAGATAAGGGCAATTCAAAGTAAAAGTATGTCTTTTCCTCCTTCTTACTGTTTTCTTAAAGCGGTCTGCCACCTGGTCAATAAGAGTTCCGGAATAAAGACTTGACCAAAGGGGCACTTGTGATGGAACAGTATAGGTCCCAGCTCATTTTGCTAGGCTGTCTCACCCACAGCTTGAGAATAGTTATTTTTCTGTTAGTTTTACAAGGGTAGAGCTTAAGGACACCCTTTCTGGTTTGAAGTAGTGTTGGCTCACCCATTTGCCCAGGGATAGGGAGCCAAGTTTAAGGTTGTTACCATTAGCGAATCTTGGAAGCGAATATGTCCCAAATGCACTTTATGAGAGATTTAGTACTGTCTGCACGCCCACCTATTTTTAAAATATCCAACCTATTTCCCTGGACATGCCCAGCATTTTAAAATTTTAATTCTTACATTTGGCCCTGCCACCGGTTTTTAATTGCGTCGTGTCATTATCGTATTGTTTTGCTTTGTTATGAGTTATTTATTGTTGTATTGTTGTTGTTATGTTTTATGATGTATTTGGGCTCGGCCTCTTGTAAACCGCACCGAGTCCTGCGGGAGATGGTAGTGGGTTATAAATAAAAGTTTATTATTATTATAAGCAAGCCATGTCTGTAGTTGGTCCCAGTGAGATCCAGGTTTGGACAGGCCATTTCAAGCCAATACTACTACTCTTACTTCCATTCTGGGAACTCATGCAGTGATAGTCTGTGGAGTTTCCAGTGCCTTCAGCAAGGTGCCAGGCCTCAGTACCTCTCTCTACCTCTCTCTCTGGCTATATTGTTGTTAATAATGTTTTAAATGGATATTTTATAATTTAATGTTTTAACTAATGCTTAATTTATGTTATATTGCTTTTGTTTGTATGTGTTGGCATCAAATTGTTGTCTGTTGTAAACCGCCCTGAGTCCCCCCTCCACCCCGGGGTGGGTTGAGAAGGACGAGATACAAATGTTTGAAATAAATAATAAATAAATACCTCCGGCCTCATCACCTTGGGCATTGGGCACCCCAGAGGTCCCTCTGCCAGGGAAAGTGAGCAAGGGAAACTTACATCTGCCCATCGTCTCCAGAATCATCCATGAGCAGCGACTTCAAGAACAACCAGTTACCTTCAAACTTTAAGTATGGACTTCATTGTGGGGAAAGATTAATTAGGCCCAAGACTAATTAATAAAACATTACCGTTTCCTGAAAGTAATAGCATGAACATTGACTCTGTGGGGTTCCTTGCTCAAACACAAAGGCACATCAGCATCCCCAAAGCTAATAGAAAGTTAACACACGTCAGCGCTAAAGTCATTTAAAGCAGCTTGGGTGCGATAGCACAGCACTAAACATGTGTTTTTCCCTCCCAATAAATAAGAATTTCCAAAAACAGAATAAACAGTTCCCTTTCTGAGTATTGGTAATTTTTAAGAAACATAGCCTCAACTGAATCACTAATATTCTGACATAGTTTTCTTGTCATTCTTCTCTTCACTAAGGAAACCTTGATATTTATCCATCACTTTATTTATGCTCAGCCTTTTCCCTGGAGCTTTCAAAATAAGCTTTCAAGATACCTCGAGCTTTCTGTAATGACACAGGTTTTAAATCTCTCTTCCTAAAGTTGTACAGTTCATGACAGGAGTGACCTGGTGCAATAATTCAGATAATTTTACTCTCTCTTTTATTCTGTCTCCCTCTTGTCCCCATCCCACCCCCTGCTTCTTTTTGGAGGATAATACAAAAACAATAATAGCTTTATCATACTGAATACATATATATTCAGTTTATTATATTTATTTATTTACTGTATTGTTAAGTGTCTTATTTTCATTTACTACATATAGTGTAATAAAGTCTTATCAAGCCTTGTTGTTTTGTTTGGTATTCTGATAGGGCCTAAGGGCTAATCAATAAAATTATTATTATTATTATTATTATTATTATACTTCTCTTACATGTGATAATTGTGGCATTCAGGTCATGAAGAGGAGGTCCCACTAGAGTCTTTTACTGTTTATCTTACCGAACCCCTCAGTAAGGAACGAGTAGAAGCATTCAGTGATGGGGTTTACGCTATTGTCGCAACCCTGTTAATTCTGGATATATGGTAAGTTTTCAGTAACCTTCATCTTAAATATTTTTCCCATGAGAATAAACCATTAAGAGCAGAAAAGAGTATGTGGAGAAATGTTTTGTGACCATGATCTGGAATTCCTTTTTCTTTCTCTCACGACCTAACCAGTGTTTTGCGCAATTGAATAACTATTTGCCAAACTATGACAAATATTTATTCTTATTGCAACCAGATAATATAATTTCTACTCTTCATTTGTATTGGTAGATTATGGCTGAAGCTGTGTGGATTGCATTCTGAGAAGCTTAACATTTTGTCCATAGGAATCCCGATTCCGTTTCAAAGTAAAAGTTGAATTCTGAGACCCATATATATTTAGAGCAATCTATAATGAATTGCACTTCTTACTATTTGTATACTGCCACTATTTATATACTGCCACTTTTCAAACAATTTGTAGAATTTATTTTGGTTTTCCTAGTCTTTCAGTGGAGCATTCTAACTATGTTCCAGTGCCATGGAAATGTGACTCAGCTGCCTGTTTTCTCCCCATTGATAGACACATTGTCACTGCACTGATAGCTATAAATGTTCTTTTATAATGAAAGCTGGACTTCTTAGGAAGCTGAATGTGCACTCTGTGTAGATCATAGGCTGTATAGTAGGACCCCCATATCATTGGGGTTTACAAGCCTAGCTGGACTTTTACAGCAGTGCATCCATGTGTCAGACAAAGTTTTCATGTATTTACTCCTTCAAAATTATTTCTAATAGCTATGTAATAGGGAGACTTTTCTGTATGGATTTGTAATAGATCACATCATTGCAAACTCTAGTCTTGGTTCCATTTTCTCAGTTCTTTTTATATCATATCTGATTTAGATTATGGGGCACTAGAAGAGACAAAATCGTTGTCTTTGCTAATGTCGGTAGTTTCTTCTGTCCTTATTGTGTTTTGCCTGCTCAAGAACTGGCAAAACCAATGGGACTCCTTGTAATTTAGTTGTTTTGTAGAGTTGAAGAATCTTGTAGCATAGTTTACAACAAAAATTAGATTTTAAAAAAGACTCACAGCCGCCCAGTGATGTTGGCCATGAAAGCCTTCAACAACACGGGATCGTTTTTCACCAAACCAAATTGGATATTATATATTTGATGGAAAACATTCAGCAATTCTGAATCCTTTGGGAGCTGGAAATTAACTCAGTTTGTTTAATTTCCAACTCCCAAAGGATTCAAAATTGCTAAATGTTTTCCATTTTTATTCCTTATTGTTTTTCACCCTTTTTCTTAATGGGAGCTTTTAAGTGATTCGTTACCTTTGTGTTTTGGGGTTTCCTCCTTTATTTAGTGTTCATAAGAAGTTTTTATTGTAACATGCTGAAATTCATAGATTATCTTTTTGAAGTATATGCTAAGTTTAGTTTTTAAAAAATGTGTTTCCCCTCAACAGTGAAGATAATGTTCCTGATGCCAAAGAGGTTAGAGAGAAATACCATGGTCACCTCATAAATGCTTTGAATGAATTTGGCCCGGCTTTCCTGGCCTACTTCGGCTCTTTCGTCACGATCGGCCTTCTCTGGTTCGTCCACCATTCCCTCTTTCTTCATGTCATGAAAGCAACTCGACTGATGGGCCTCCTCAATACCTTTTCCTTGGCATTTATTGGAGGGCTGCCTCTTGCCTATCAGATGACCAGTGAATTTGCAGAGAAGTCCCACAACGAAATCGAAGCCATCCAGATCAGCTGCGTCACCATCTTTTTCGCCAGCATCTTTCAGTTTGGCATATGGATTGCTGCTTTATTCTACCAAAGGGAAACACTGCACCCTTTTGCCAGGTATGGCGGCAAGGAGCACGCCTTCATGTTTGCCAAGCTGGCGCTCTACCCCTGTGTGAGCCTCTCTGTCTTCTTCCTCACATGCATTGTGAGCGAACTGAGTACAACTATTTTCCATGTCACTCAGATCATCGTCCCCTTTGCCTTCCTTGCTTTGCGCCTCCTTGTCCAAATTGGTCTGTTGGCATTAAGGTCCATAATATCTCTGTCCAGGCGGAGGAACAACGTACTACTTGAAGAAGAAGAATCATGTTTGTCTGCTGCTGAAATATTGTCATAGCTCTCCCTGCACTTTATTTGGAAAATGTGGCATTGCAATGACTTAATATGTCTGGTTCAAGCCACTACTTGATATATGCAGCGTCTGACCAAGTGAAATCCCTTTGTTTGTGAAATATAAATGCTCCCACAAGACTTCAGATGCAAACCCAAAAGTCTGAGACTTGTAGACTCCTCTTCTCTACATTTTTCCTGCAAACTGACATTTGGGTCTATGTTTTGGGCTATTACAATTTCTTAGCTGATGAATTTCAGCTTTTGGGAGAATATCAGTGACTGTAGTACAGTGGTTCTCAACCTGTGGGTCACCAGATGTTTTGGCCTTCAACTCCCAAAAATTCTAACAGCTGGTAAACTGGCTGGGATTTCTGGGAGTTGTAGGTCAAAACACCCGGGGACCCACAAGTTGAGAACCATTGCTGTAGAGGAAGAGCAAGTCATTTTAGGAAATGTAGTGACATCAGTTCTCTGTTTGTGAAGTGCTGAATAAAATCAGAGCCATTAAAAGGGAAAAAGCTGATACAGCTACAAATATATATGTTAGCTTACTGCCAGTGAGTGACCAAGGAAGCATGTTTTGAATTGTTACATACTCCTGGGTGCATCTCCTGCAGGCTTGGCTAAACTTTGGCCCTCCGGGTGTTTTGGACTTCAACTCCCACAATTCCTAACAGCCAGTAGATCAGTGATTCTCAGCCTGTGGGTCCCTAGAAGTTTTGGCCTTCAACTCCCAGAAATCCTAACAGCTGGTAAACTGGCTGGGATTTCTGGGAATTGTAGGCCAAAACACCTGGGGACCCACAGGTTGAGAAGCACTGCAGTAGATTGTTAGGAATTGTAGGAGTTGAAGTCCAGAACACTTGGAGAGCCAAAGTTTGCCCGTGCTGGTCTACTGTATAGGTAAACAGCTGCTCCTTGTAATTCACAAAAGACCTGGGTGTTTTTGGTGTGTAAAGCATCCAATTCTAATTTCACATTTGGTATGAAAATAAAAAGGTCTGGTGCAAAGCTGGGAAAATGTTACACGCTTGCTAAGGAAATCTGTGAGCTGTAGTCCCAATAAGTAACTTTCCCAAGAGGTGTGCCAAGTGACTGTGAATCAATACAAGTTGCCAGTAAAAGGAATGATCCATTCTGGACTGGAAAACTCTGAAGGAACACAACTTGTCAGGATTTTAGAAATGCAAAGATTGCATGAATAATGAAAACTGCCCATAAGTGTTTTTCACTTATGGGCAGAGCTTCTTGTGGTTTTCAAATAATATTGACACTTACTAATAAATATGTAAAGTATCTTTCTATCTCTGGCTTTATATCCATTGCTTCTGCTGGTGTTCTGCCCATTATAATACCACCCAGACCAATGGCTAATCGACAAGGCAGCTTGTTTATCTTGAACATTACCCCTAACTTGAATCAAAAACTGTCTGTGCCTGATAGTTGTTGTAGCTTCTCTATGAGAAGCTCAGCATTATTCTGAAATATAGCACAGGGTTTTTTTAGAAAAGCATAATGATGGAGTCCTTTCTGTGTTTTCCTATTGCACTTTATGAAGATAAATTGTATTTGGGTTGTCAACAGCTTTTGATACTTCTGTAACCTGTACATGGCTGATCAATGTGTTTCTGGTTTGGGGCAATGCCCTATATGCTACAATTCAACCTAAAAGCCAAAAGAGAATCCCTTATTGCTGTTCCATCCCTTATGATTTCACGTTTGTTAATTTTCAAATGAGTTAAATATATTTTTACTTAAATAAAATTCTATGTTTACAGTTTCAGCAGTCGGGAGTTTCATTACATTTCAGCATCTTCCTATCTGTAATAAACTTCACAAATTGCTTGGTGGGGTTGAACAGCAAATGGGTAGGGTTTGTTAACTAGAAGCAGGTTAGAAATGGAGCAAGAGCAATTATGTACAGGTACTAATTAAGCTAAGATGGGTTCGGCACCTTGAAAGTACTAGATCTTCATTCTTGGAAGAAAAGCAAGGGTCAGACCTGGTTATGAAATGCCATGTGCTCACAGCCATATTTAAGAAGAAGGCAAGAGAAAACCACCTCCGGTTATTCCATGCCGAAGAGAACCCTACGAAAATCATGGGGTCACCATAGGCTGACTAATGACTTGAAGCCAGTTACATACACTAATGAAGCTGTATTATTGATAATAAAGTAAAAGTAAAGGTTTCCCCTTGACTTTAAGTCTAGTCGAGTCCAACTCAGGGTGGCGGTGCTCATCTCCATTTAAAAAGCCGACGAGTTGGCATTGTCCATAGACACCTCCAAGGTCATGTGGTTGGCATGACTGCATGGAGCGCCATTACCTTCCCACCAGAACAGTACCATTTGATCTACTCATATTTGCATGTTTTTGAACTGCTAGATTGGCAGAAGCTGGGGCTAACAGCGGGTGCTCACCCCACTCCCCAGATTCAAACCACCAACCTTTTGGTCAGCAAGCTCAGCAGCTCAGTGGTTTACCCTGCTGCACCACCGGGGACTCAAAATTAAAGCATCAGTACACAGAGTAGGTTTCTACTCTGTTGGCTTACTTAGCCTAAGGTAATACCTAAGCAAGAGGGGAGAGGAATAGTCATCACTTTCGGAACAACAAGAGCGATACATTGATTCTATTGTAAATGATTCTATAACCTGTTTCCTAACTTAGACATGTTGACTAGTTGGTAAGTTAACTATGCTTAGTTTCTTGGGTATATTTTTAACTAAATTTTGTAGACTTATACTCAATTAATATACAGTACTTTACAGAAGAGATACTATCAAATGAAGGTGGATTAGTATCTATAATCTCAATTAAACCATAACACTCTTCCATTTTTGCAGGACGGCATCCTTGGGAGACCAATGTGATGGTTCTTTCAGTGAATTAAAATGTTTCTAGATGTACACAATGTTTTTGTTTTGTAACTAATCTTTCAACTTTGCAAGGAACGAAGCATTGAAAACAAGATTTTTTAAAATATGAAGTGATGCTTACCATTGCTATCAACATTGTTAAACATCATTTCAACTTTTTCCTTCAGGGTGTTTGTTCAAATAAACACAGTTAGCTCTGGTGGCGCAATGGGCTAAGCCCTTGTCCCGGCACAACTGCTGACAGATAAGTCAGCAGTTCAAATCGGGGGGAGAGCGGGTTGATTTCTCTCTGTCAGTTACAGCTCCCCATGTAGGGACATGAGAGAAACCCCCCACAAGGATGGTAAAACATCAAACATCTGGGCATCCCCTGCAAGTCACTTCTCACACCAGAAGCGACTTACAATTTCTCAAGCCGCTCCTAACATGAAAAAAAAGAAAAGTTTGCTGTCACACCAAAAGCAAGTATTGTACAGGAGTTCTTTTTATTCGCAGCCCATAAGACACAGCTGGCGAAACAATGTTCAAAAACAGGTGGACTACTCTTTTTCGTCTCCGTGTGTGATGGTGTAGCAGAGGGCCTTGTAATCGAGGTTTCCTGCAGCGTCAATAGGAGAACTTTGGAACATCTGATCTATCTATACACGAAACAAGGAAAAACATGTTGAAGGGAGGCATTTAGAATATTTGGAGACAATTTATTATAGTAGGAGACGGGGATATGAAGAAATGCTTCTTTACTCTTTGAAACTGGAAATTACATTGTAGTTTATCCAATAATAGAGCGTCATATTCAAAGCTGAAATATTATCTCTCAAGACAAGCCATTGTTCAGCAAGACACATCAAAACAAAATGCATCCGAAATCAGAATCCTTTCTGTCTCTTGGAGATATCTGAAATGGCCTTCAGTTCCTTCCCATTTGTTTTTCACATAAGTGAATTGCACTTAATAGGGAGGAAAAAACGTTTGTTTGAGTAGAAATGCTAGCTGTGAAGGAATAATTTGCCACTGATTATGAAACTGCTACAGCCAGTGTCAGTCCTATTGAGAGAAAATATACTGAAGGAAATGTAACTTACTAAGTCAAAATCAGAGGTGGAAATTCTGCATTTCTCCCAATATTGTTAACAGCAAATCTCAGTGATTGTAGCCAGCATACCCAATTATGTGAAGTGCAGGGACATGCTGTTTAACAACATTTGGAAAGCTACACAATTCCCACCACTGATAAAAAATTAACCTAGATTTCATCCATTTTAAGAAGTCTATTCTGTAAATATGGCCAGGAAACAATAGTTTTAGCATTGCTAAGAAAACAGGCCAGAATTTAGAATCAAGCCTATGGGGCATAACCTGGAATTAAATATCTGCAACGGGTTCATATTCATGACCCCTTAGTACAGTAGTATTATTTATTATTATTATTATTATTTACTTCATTTACATACCACTTTTCTCAGCCCTTAGGCGACTCAAAGCGGTAGTATTGCCAGGATTGTTAAGGTATAGGTTTCCCCTGGCATTAAGTCTAGTTGTGTCTGACTCGAGGGTGGTGCTCATCTCCATTTCTAAGCCGAAGAGCTGGCGTTGTCCATAGACACCTCCAAGGTCATGTGGTTAGCATGACTGCATGGAGCGTCATTACCTCCTGCAGAAGTGGTACCTATTGATCTACTCACATTTGCATGTTTTCGAACTGCTAGGTTGGCAGAAGCTGTGGCTAACAGTGGGAGCTCACCCCACGCCCAAGATTTGAACCGCCGACCTTTCAATTTGCAAGTTCAGCAGCTCTGTGGATTAACTCGCTGTGCCTCCACAGGATTGTTAGTGCCCCCTAAACCTACTTTACTGGACATCAGCCACAAAGAGAGAAATGGCTGCGTTCTGCTGGCCAATGGATGCAGGCAGATGATGTTTCCACCTACAATTCACACTTGCCAAGTCTAGTTCAAACAGTCATCCCCCAAACAATTGAAACCTTTGGTAAACAGAGAATACAAACCTCTTCAGCACTAAACTTTTCACCTTGGGACATCATTAAACGTTTGATGCTGTTAAAGGAAGTAAAAAAATATTAAGACTTAAAAACTTAAGACTGATCAAGAAAGCTTAAAGCAACTTAATTTTTTTGTATGAGAAGCAACTTGAATAATTCTCGACTGTGTGAGTATGTGCCTTCAAGTCACCTGTCAACTTATGGCAACCTCATTCATTTCATAAGGTTTTCTTAGGCAAGGAATACACAGAGGTGGTTTTGCCCATTCCTTCCTCTGAAATATAGCCAGTATCCCCATGTATTTATTGGCAGCCTCCCATTCAAGTGCATAGGTCCAATTCTTTTTCTTCCTGGGATACAGTTACCATTAAAAAACTTCTTCCATGTGTGCAGTCTATAGTAGTAGCGCTTCGATGGATGCCTTTGTTTTGTCTTGTCAAAACAATGCTTGCATAAGGATAAAAACAATCAAAGGAGAGATCTATTTGAACATGGACAAAATGGTGTGTAGTCTTCCAAATGTTGATGGACTCCCTGAATGTCACACAAGTAATTGTGGTTATAGATCATGGGCACAGGCAAACCCAAAGGCACCACAAGTCAAGAGAGAAAGGCTGGAACGTGTCAGATAGCAAAGGTCTGGAGACCATGAATTCGTATGAGGAGCATCTTAAAGAGCTGGGAATGTCTAGCCTGCAGAAGAGAAGGCTGAGAGGAGACATGATCGCCAGATTTAAATATTTGTAAGGATGTGATAGGAAGAGGGAATTGGCTTGTTTGCTGCTGCCCTGGAGACTAGGATTCAATGAAGCAATGGGTTCTTATTACAGGAATGGTGATTCCACCTGAACATTAGGAAGAACCTCCTAACTGTGAGAGCTGTTCAGCAGTGGAACTCTCTGCCTCTGAGTGTGGTGGAAGCCCCTTCTTTGGAGACTTTTAAACAGAGGCTGGATGACCATCTATCAGGGGTGCTTTAATTGTACTTTTCCTACATGGCATGGGGTCGGACTGGATGGCCCTTGGGGTCTCTTCCAATAATATGATTCTATGAAAAATAAACGTAATATACAGTGCCCCAAGTCCTGTACTCTGTCCCATATCCACAAAGAAAGGATATTAGGCTCAAGATATATGGTAAAATGGCAAACTGCTGTATATGTATTAAAGGTAAAGGTTTCCACTTGACATTAAGCCTAGTCATGTCTGACTCTGGGATTGGTGCTCATCTCCATTTTTATGGCTGCATGAAGCACAGTTACCTTCCCACAGAAGCAGTATCTATTGATCTATTCACATTTGCATGTTTTCGAGCTGCTAGGTTGGCAGAAGTTGGGGCTAACAACGAGAGCTCACCCCATCCGTGGATTTGAACCACCGACCTTCCGATCAGCAAGTTCAGCAGCTTAGCGGTTTAATCCGCTGCATCACCACGGTCCCTGTATATGTATTATAGATTATCAAATATGGAAAATTGTCCTCCTGACCACAACCTTTTCTACACAGCTTCTCCCTTAGCCACTTCACTTCCAGATTGGCTTTCGGGGACAAAACAAAGCTGGGCGCAAAACAACTTTGGAGAGATGAACTGTGCAAGCTCTGGAAATGATCATCTTATCCTACCTGTAACCCCTTTTGCATTTTAAATGGCACCACACATGCACCACACTTTACATGGTGTTGGGATAGGACTCATGAAGGACCTGTCAATATTATGGCTAAGCTGTTTGATCACGTATCACTCAAAATCACAAGTTCCAGACAAGGGAAAGTCCACTTAGATGGCTAATACTTACTAATCCTTATTAATGTTTCCTTTAGCCTCTGGGTCGAACATTTTAAATGCGTTTAGTATGGTCTCTTCAGTGTCCGTACCTGCCAAAAATAATGGGATAATGAAACAATGAAAATGACATTGGTAACGTAGTACTTCTGACTTGTGGAAATCATCATTTGCAATCAATTCTTGAATATACACCGCCAAAGAATATATATCAGGGATAGGCAAACTTTGGCCCTCCAGGTGTTTTGGACTTCAACTTCCACAATTCCTAACAGCTGGTAGGTTTTTTAAAATGTATAATGCAGCGATAAACTTACCACTTAACTTTTCCCCAAACAGGTTCAAGAACATTGTAAAATTTATAGGACCAGTGGCTTCTTTAAGCATCGATTCCAACTCATCATCTTTGACATTTGTTTTACCTACAATTGAACAAATAACACTTCTTATCCATTGCATTCTCAATATATATAGATATATAAAAATATAAATATATTCACATATGTGTATTTGATTATGTTCTCCAACCTTTACTTTTAAAGATACTTTATGTTTACAAGCTAAATTTGGTATAATATTTAAGTTTCCACTTACTTTCCAGTTCTTTTGAAATGCTGTACCTAGTAGAAACACACTGGGAGTTTTAATGGCAAAATGTGGCACTGAACTTCAGACCTCATTTTGCTTGTTCCTTGAATTAATAACCTACAGTACTTGGGAATGAATTTGTAACATTTCCTAATGAGCAAAATTATTTTTTTTATAAAAATCAGAAAAGCACACCTACTAATATCTGCTTAATGGGAAAGACTGAAGATTTCTTCTATGTTAATATAGTTTGTAGTTTCCAAAATATATTTTGATGTCACTGTCTCTTAAACTGCCTTAAAAGAACCTTAAAAGAACCTGTATATTGAAAGCTGAGACAAGTAACTGAAATAATTTAAAGGAAAGTGAGAACTGACCAACAATCATTCCAGAATACTTGCCTAAAGACGCGTAAGTATCTTTTAAATCTTCTTTATCAATGAAGCCATCTCTGTTCTGGTCAATTAGTGTGAAAGCCTATAGAAAATTGGTACATATTTATAAACCTTAAATGAGCCAGATCACCAATTCCTGCTTGTGATTTTATTACCCCAATTCTAATTGTGTTTTCTTAAGCCCAAGACTAAATAAATAAGTTTTTATCCTTCAATAATTGAAAAGCAAATGTATCACAACATTTTTCAATTGCCTTTATTCATCAATAAAATATTAAGGAGAAAAAACACAAAAAATCATTCAAATCCAATTTCCCCTTTCTCCCTTTGTCTCTGCATGTAATGGTATGTATCTTATACAGGCAGTCCCCAAGTTACAAGCAAGATAGGTTCTGCAGATTTGTTCTTAAGTTGAATTTGTATGCAAGTCTCCTGTACAGTACTGCATTTTGCCCCAGAATTGATCTTTTATGTTCTCAGTCTCTCAGATCCTCAGTGTCTGCGCCCTACACCACTGGAGAAATTACACTGTTTATCAGGTCTTGCACCACCTGACATCCACCAGGAAGTAGCAGCCAATAGTAAAAGGACCAAGGCAGTGACATCTTCAGCTTATCCCTTGTTTGGGTATCAGCCAGCACATCAACAACTTAAATCAAGAAATAGTTTTCTAAGATCTACAGAGACACTTGCTAGAACACCCCAGCAAGCGAGAGTCCAAAAGTGGCAGGCTCAAACCCAGAACCTCAATCCATGGCTGATACCAAATGAGAGACTCCCCCCTGGGCACACAGAAAACTGGGCGACTTGGAAGGCACTGAACAGACTGCGCTCTGGCACCACGAGATGCAGAGCCAGCCTTAAGAAATGGGCCCACAAAGTGGAATCCACAACATGCGAGTGTGGAGAAGAGCAAACCACAATCCACCTGCTGCAATGCAACCTGAGCCCTGCCACATGCACAATGGAGGACCTTCTTATAGTAACACGAGGCACTCCAAGTGGCCAGCTACTGGTCAAAGGACATTTAATCAACTACCAAGCTTGCAAACCTTGTGTTCTGTTTGTTTGTTTGTTAAAAAAATGCAACACAACTGTTTGGTCTGCTCCTGACATGATAAATAAATAAGTGTCATTCTAGCCTTTCCTACACAATACAAGTAGCAAATAGACAAGTCAAAAAGGCTAGAGACAGACAGTAGATTGGAAATGGCAGAAGGTGTGCATTCACACTGAATACTATATTTGGAGTCCCACCATTTCATAGATCCTTAGTCTCTCTCCAGCCCCTCAAATACAACACATACCTTGAATTGTGCAGGGTGTTGTTTTTTTTACATAAATATTGTTTTGTGCCCAAAATTATTTTAAGCTATTGAATAAAATTGCCCTCAGGCTATATGTATAAGGTATATAAAATTTGTGTTAAGATTTGGGTTCCATTTCCAAGATATCTAATTCTATATGCAAATATTCCAAAATCTAATAAAATCTGAAACACTTCTGGTTGCAAACAATCCTGACATGGGATACTAAACCTGCATAGCAATTTTTTTGGCAAGTTTAATTCCTCGCCTACTTGCAAACTCCAATACCCTTTCAAAAAAAATTGGTTCAGGAGTTTCCCTGCCCTCTGGAATAGGCTTTGGGGGTGTGTGGGTTGCATTTTGTTCCCTACTGATAGAGGCAGTTCTGCTACTTGAATAATCTGATTGGATTTATGGCCCATAAATCACAGTCCAGCCTAAATTCAGAAATTTTCAGTATCTCTGATTTAAAACACACATTGAAATTCACTGCTGGCTATATGGGCTGTTGAAACCAAGCACTGTGGGAAAATCAGGTGGTGCATGCCAAGGGGCTAAGAGTCAAATACAAGTCAAATACAAATGCAATCCCATTCAGATTATATAAACAACTCATTTTGGAATGAGAAAGCGCCCAGTTCATCACTTAGAAACCCCCAAAACCATATATTGGGAGAACATCTTCCTACTTCCTTAAACTCCTGAATCTGTGTCTGTTCAAAGTTGGAGAAGACATTAGAAGAAGCTCTTTGTGCCCGTTTGGCACCACCTTCCTTCTTCTTGGTTTTTCTGCTGGCCTGAAAGGAGGATCGACAAGAATGGTCTCAATAACTATATTTTGACATTTAGCAATAGTTCTAACAACACATGCATGGATCTTCTTCTATATAAATAAAAATGTAATGTTCATTTGTGGGATTAACATAATTCAAAAACCACTGAATGAATTGACACAAAATTTGGACACTATACCTCTAACAGACCAATGAGTGACCCTTACTCATACGCCCCCCCCCCCCCCCCCCCCCCCCAAAAGTGGAAAGGACTTAAAAACCCCAAAAAGCTAAATGACGATACAGGAAAAAAAGGGAAGGAAGAGGGAGGAAAGGAGAGAAAGAAAGAAAGGAGAGAAAGAGGGAGGAAAAGAAGGAAAGAGAGAAGGAAGGAAGGAAAGAGGTAGTGAAGGAAGAAAGGAGAAAAACAGGGATGAAAAGAAAAAGGGGGAAGGAAAGAGGAAGAGAAGGAAGGAAGGAGAGAAGGAAAGAAAAAAGTGAAGGAAGAAAAGAGGGAGCGAAGGAAGGAGGGAAAGAAGGAGAGAAAGAGGGAGGGAAGGTTGGCCACAGCAATGCGTGGCAGGTACAGCTAGTTCCAAATTAAAACATGCAACCTGTAGAACACATGCAGTGGCAGTCCTATATGCCTTGATTTCAAAGTTAACCCCATTACTCTCACTAGGCTTTCTTCTGAACAAGACCATGTTTTACTAATTAATCTTTATAAATGGTACTGTTAAGTCAAAATTTCAAGGGATAATGAAAAGCATATAGGTCGCCTCTCCAAACAAATAGAACTCACCATCTTTCCTGGGAAGCGACGTGGCCTGTCTTACTCTGGGAAGCTTTCTATATTAAGTGCTTCTTATATGTAGAGAAGGGTCTCATCTTTATAGCTGGCATTTCCCAAAGGAGATCTCAAACGTCTTAAGAACCCTGAGCTCACAAGATCTACTCCATACATGGTCACAACTGCAAGGTACCTGCTGCTCCCCAGTGGCCAGACAACTGGTATGGATATTCTGAACTGGCTAGTATGTCATTTCCTTTGGTTGTAGTCTGTAATATGTATCATGCAACTCATCACATTGTGGCAAATGTGTCTGTCGAAAGTAAACTATTTCCCATTATAGTACTTGCTGGAATGAATGTTTGGTTTTAAGGTAACACAGGACCTGTTGAAGCAGAGAAGGTATGCCATCTTTGTATCCAGCGGCAACACTCTGGCTGTAGCTCTTAAGACTAACTGAAGTTTCAAAAGATTCTTCAAAGGCAGTCTCATGTACGACATGTTACAGTAATCTAGCACCTCTCCCCATGGTATTATCAGAAATTGATACCGTTGGCACGCTAGGTTTATCTGTGCACAAGCACTACTGGCCACATACACACCGGAGCATATAGGCGCAGGGCTAAATCCAAAACTATACCCAACAAATAACTTGCATCTTCAGCAGTGTAACTCCACCTGGAGCTATGCTGCCTTACCATTCAGAAACTGCCATATAATCCAGGTCAAAGCAAATAATCTGGATTCACATATAGGCAGCTATGAACAAGACAGGTTCTGCAGGTTTGTTCTTACATTGAATTTGTATGCAAGTCAGAACAGGTATATTTTTTAAGTGTAACTCAAGCCAAATATATATATATGGGTAGTTATGAACAACATGGGTTCTGCAGGGTTTTTTTCTTTCTTAAATTGAATTTATATGTAAATAGGGATAGGAACATTTTTAAAGTATAACTTCAACCATGTACAAATGCACTTTGAATAGCATAGGGAAGGATTAACACCCCTGTGGTGTTGGTTTTGCTGTCTGTGCCCCTATTCAGACAATTTCACCTTACTAATGTCCCTGTGTTATTTGGATTTTGAAAAAATATGAACAAAGCTTCATAGTGGTTGTGGAAACAAAGATTGGTGATAAAGCTTCAGAGGAGACACCTTTTCCCCATGAAAATAACTCTTTCAGGTGTGAATTTCCCTTCCTTTGGGCTGTATTACTCTCATTTTCTGTTGTCTGGCAGTATAGATATACATCCAGCACAGGTCAATCCCTGTTTACAGACATGATTTTTGGCTGACCAGGAGCATCTTTGTCTTGTCTGGATGAAGCCTCTATTTGTTTGCCCTTATCCAGTTTGTTTTGCATAGAAAGCACCAGTTTCTTTGGAATTAGACAGAAAAATGATACTGAGCAGCCTTCATTTTTATAATTATGTAGACTAAGATCGATAAAATAACTGTTTAAATATATTAGACATAATTTAATCAGAATTATTCAGCCAAATATTGTGCTTTGATCTGTGACAACTATATAGGATCTCATTAAATTGCAATACAATGTTGAGCCAACTACAAATTTAGCAAAAACATATCCCAATGTAGGAAAGAATCCAGGAGAGCAAAACGGTGAGTATGAACTGCTCGCATTTAATTTCATGAACCGTTAGCTCCAATGTCATGCGGCTACAACATAAATCAGGTAATTTAAATTATATAGTGTTAATACTATTCATTAAGTCTACCCATCTAACACTCTTGTGCGGTTACTTCTTGTTATAGATATCTTTTGCTTGCAGTTGCTCTGTCAAAAATATTTACTAATTATGCAGTGTTCTGATATTCCCTCTGGGCTTTCAGGAAGCTCTCTCTGTGTGTATCTTTAGCATCTGCTGCTCTCCTGTTCTTTGGAATCCAATTTAGGAAATTACATGCAAACCATTTCTTAAAATCTTTTTTCAGTTCCTCAAAGTGTCTTCAAAAATTAGCTAAATGCAATTTAAATCCATATATTGGTGCTTTTGTATGAGTTGTCATAATGATCCTATACAATTTCAAAAAAGTTCATTTCACAGATCATTATAAGAATTAAGCACCGTACACAATTTCTATACGTCCCATATATTAAGAAGATATTACTTATGCCATCAACTTGCAACACTTATTTTATTGTGTTTTAAGATTCTTATGCTATGAATTATTCAACTAAATATAAGTGTAATTATTTTTTTTCAACACTGGAACACTGGAATTCTCTCCTGAAAGAGTTATCATGGGGGAAATGTATCTTCATTGAAGCTTTATCACCACTTCTTGTTTCCACAACAAGCCATTTTTTAAAAAAAAAATCCAGGGACAGAAAGTGAGGTGAAATCTTCTGAACATGGGTACTGACAGCAAAATATGCCCCACAGGGGTGCTACCCTTTCCTATGTTGTTCAAACATACTATATGTATATTTTTGGCCGGAGTTATACTTTAAAATGTACCTGTTCCGACTTACATAACATTCAACTTCAGAACAAACCTACAGAACCGATGTGTTGTCAAAGGCTTTCATGGTCAGAATCACTGGGTTGCTGTGAGCTTTTCAGGCTGTATGGCCATGTAGCATTCTCTTCTGATGTTTCGCCTGCATCTGTGGCCAGCATCTTCAGATGTCTGTTAGAGGTGAAGTGAGTAGACTGTATATATAGCCAGATTAATTAGCATTGACTAGCCTTGCAGCTGCAAAGCCAATCAATGGCAGTATTTTCATAGAGGTAGCCTGGCTGCTGTGTCTGGAGGCATCCTCTGTTTGGGAGGTGTTAACTGGCACTTGATCACTTCCTCTCTGGTATTCCTGTTTCTGAATAGTGTTCTTTATTTCCAGTCTTTATTTTGGTGTTATTAAAATACTGGTAGCCTGATTTTGTTCGTTTTCATGGTTTCCCCCTTTCTGTTGAAATTGTCCAGCATAATTGTCTTCTCTAAGCTTTCCTGTCTCCTCATGATGTGGCCAAAGTGCTTCATCTTGGCCTCTACTATCCTTCCCTCCAATGAGCAGTCGGGATTTATTTCCTGGAGTATGGACTGGTTGGATCTTCTCGTGGTCCAAGGCACTCTCACAACTTTCCTCCGCTCAGCCTTCCTTAAGGTCCAGCTCACACATCCATAGGTAACTACAGGGAATACCATTGCTTTAACTATGCGGATCTTTGTTGCCAATGTGATGTCTCTACTCTTCACTATTTTATCGAGATTGGACATTGCTCTCCTCCCAAGAAGTAAGCGTCTCCTGATTTCCTGGTCACAGTCTGCGTCTGCAGTAATCTTTGCACCTGGAAATACAAAGTCTGTCACTGCCTCCACGTTTTCTCCCTCTATTTTCCAGTTGTCAATCATTCTTGTTGCCATAGTCTTGGGTTTTTTTATGTTTAGCTGCAACCCAGCTTTTGCGCTTTCTACTTTCACCTTGATTAGAAGGCTCCTCAGCTCCTCCTCGCTTTTGGCCATCGGAGTGGTGTCATCTGCATATCTAAGGTTGTTAATGTTTCTTCCAACGGTCTTTATTCTGCTGCTATTAAAATACTGGTAGCCTGATTTTGTTCATTTTCATGGTTTCCCCCTTCCTGTTGAAATTGTCCACGTGCTTGTGGACTTCAATGGCTTCTCTGTGTAGTTTGACATGGTGGTTGTCTGAGTGGTCCAGCATTTCTATGTTCTCAAAATATATTCTGAAGACAAGAAAGTAACCTGAGATACCACACAGTAAGACATATGGTTCTTCTTTTACCTCATAAAACAACAAATGAACTAGGGTGATTTTCATAATTTGGCATACCAAATGGCTCCTAGGGTGCATCCACACAGTACAACGAAAGCTCTTTGCCTGTTTACGCTATGCAATCCTGGGATTTGAAGTTTAGCATGGCTCCAGCACTCTTTTGGCAGAGAAGGCGACTAAAATGATAAAGGGTCTAAAATGATCAAGGGTCTGGAGAACAAGCCCTATGAGGAGCGGCTTAAGGAGTTGGGCATGTTTAGCCTGAAGAAGAAAGGCTGAGAGGAGATATGATAGCCATGTATAAATATGTGAGAGGAAGCCACAGGGAGGAGGGAGCAAGCTTGTTTTCTGCTTCCCTGGAGACTAGGACGCACAACACTGGCTTCAAACTACAAGAGAGGAGATTCCATCTGAACATTAGGAAGAACTTCCTGACTGTGAGTGCTGTTCAGCAGTGGAACTCTCTGCCTCGGAGTGTGGAGGAGGCTCCTTCTTTGGAAGCTTTTAAACAGAGGCTGGATGGCCATCTGTCAGGGGTGATTTGAATGCAATATTCCTGCTTCTTGGCAGGGGACTGGACTGGATGGCCCATGAGGTCTCTTCCAACTCTATGATTCTATGATTCTAAGACTTTGTGAAACCACCTCGCATTGAGCCACTGCAGTGAAAGCGCTGCTTCCGCCGGAAGTGTTACTCTAGTTCACTCTACACTTTTTCTAGCTCTATGCTTCCAGGACGCTCTTCCTTCCTCTCCGAGCGTCGCCGACGTCACTTCCGCTCCCCTTGCGGCCCAGGCCCAAGATGGTTCCCCCGGTGCAGGTCTCGCCGCTCATCAAGGTAAGCAGGGCGCGAAGAGGGCGGCGGGGGGATTTCCCACGCGGGGCGGCTTTCGGGCCTCCTCCCTCCTCAGGACGAATAGTCTGTGGGGCAAAGGGAGCTGAGCTATGGGGGGAAACTCCGCCGCCGAAGGTGACCGCAGAGGAGGTCAAGGAGAATTAATGGCAGAAGGAAAGTGGAAGGCCCTGCTCGCCTTCCCCCCCCCCCTTTTCGAAATGTGTTCAATGGCGGAGACACTCTTCCAGCTGCTAAAGCAGGCTGTTAGGAATTGTGATAGTTGGAGTCCAAAACACCTGGAGGGCCGAAGTTTGCCCATGCTTGTACTAAGGCAGTGGTTCTCAACCTGTGGGTCCCCAGGTGTTTTGGCCTACAACTCCCAGAAATCACAGCCAGTTTACAGCTGTTAGGATTTCTGGGAGTTGAAGTCCAAAAACATCTGGGGACCCCAGGTTGAGAACCACTGTACTAAGGTGACATTTCTCCCTCTAAACTGCTCCTTGAGAGCCTCGTTCTTCATTCATATCACTTGCTAAAGTATTGTCGAAGGCTTTCATGGCTGGAATCACAAGTTTCTTGTAGGTTTTTTCGGGCTATAGGGCCATGTTCTAGAGGCATTTTCTCCTGACGTTTCGCCTGCATCTATGGCAAGCATCCTCAGAAGTAGTGAGGTCTGTTGGAAGTAGGAAAAATGGGTTTATATATTTGTGGAATGACTGGGGTGGGGCAAAGAACTCTTCTCTGCTGAAGCTAGGTGTGAATGTTTCAACTGATCACCTTCATTAGCATTTGAAGGCCTGGCTGAGCCTGGGGAAAATTTTTGTTGAGAGGTGTTAAGATGTGCCTGGTTGTTTCCTCTCTGCTGTTTTGCTGTTGTAATTTTAGAGTTTTTTTAATACTGGTAGCCAGATTTTGTTCATTTTTATGGTACCCTCCCTATCCACTTTCCACAAAGATGTAAAGACGTGGATATTCCACTGTGCTTTTAACTAGAAAATTTCCTAGACAACCGGCCCAGCTAGGACCTAAAATTCCAGTCCTTGCACTTTACTATTGTTTTGTATCTAAAGTCATAATGACCTTTTTTATATTTATTTATTTGTTTACTTACTTACTTACTTACTTACTTACTTACGAAAGGAACCAGTGTTCAGGAGATTTTACCCCAGTTCCCAATCTTTAAAAGAACTAGCCGATTTGCAATGGAGGTTGCCGATTAGGAACCAAATTTACCATCAAGTTAGAAGGGAGGCTGTTCAATTGCACCTCCTCCTTTATTAAGAAAGTAATAACTTAGTAGTAATTACACTGTATATACTGTAGCATGACTGGAGAGAAGAATGTAGTTTCATTTGGTTACTTTTCCCTGCGTTTCTGCCACCATGTGAGGTAAGTTGTAATATTGTGAGAAATGGCACTTGGTACGTAGAATAGACGGAGCTGAGGCAATCTTCAAACAAAAGTTAATAATTTTATTAAGTACACAGCGTGTGGTTGCAAGACGTAACTTTTGTTATAGAACTTAGAACAATGCTTGGTTAGTTGAATGTTACACTCTTTCAGATTACACAGTATCTTCCTGAGGTGAAGCACTTATTACAAAACAAAGTTTCAATACAGGGATGTCTCCCTTATCTGATCCTCCCTTGATCAGATACTTAATAAGATTATTCTTTAGCCTTTCTTTAGACTAAAGGAATACTGACTTCGTTTCCCTTATCAGCCTCTCTAGACTAAGAAACTTCCAGTAGCTTAATCTGGCTTTCCAAAGCCTCAAAACTTTGCTTCACAATTTACTCTCTTTCAGCTACAACCTCCTAATCCTTTCCTCTACCAACTCCTCTAAACCTAAACCCTCACTCCTAGGAACCTAAACCCTAACTAACTGCTTCTTTTAAAAACGCAGATGGATTTCTCTTGCTAGGCTCCGCCCACTTTCCACTCTCCTCTGCCTGGTCTCCTTGGCAACGCCACAATGGATACAACCAGTTATTTCTAGCTTTCAGCTACTGTTACCAAACAAATAGTTAAACAGTTCAAATACATATACCTAGTTTCAATAACTTCCTTACACTTACTTACTTACTTACAGTATTTATAGTCCGCCCTTCTCACCCCACAGGGAACTCAGGGCGGATCACAATGCAAATATACATGGCAAACATTCAATGCCATAGACACACAACATATATAGACAGAGACACAAAGGCTTCATGAGGGTACGCTTTTTGAATTCCAGCCACTGGGAGAGCTGTTGCTTCAGCATCCACTTGTGACACCAATGGAGTACTTCCTCATTCTTTTGCCCCCTGCTGGAGAGTTTTATGGTATCACAAATTAAATTAGCCTCCCCACATAAGCAGTACCTAAATTTCCTAATTGAAAGATGCAACTGTCTTTCTTTCTGCAAAGGTTGACAGCAAGCTAGACAGTGGCTGGAAGCTCACTCCGATTAGGGTTGGCTTCGAACTTATGATCTCTCTGTCAGTAGTGATTTTAATGCAGCTGTCTTCCAACCAACTGCGCGACAACAGCACTTATCCTTGCTGTTGCCATATGACCTTTTTTTACTTTACTCATTAGCCCTATCCTCTGAAATGTTGTGGCAGATGTCTGCACACCCATGACAAGACATTCAACTTTCTATTAGTTATTAGTTTGATCATTGTTTTATATGTTGTTATAATGTTGTTGTTCTTATTTTGTTTAGTTTTATATTGTTTTACATTTTAATGTGTTATGTTTTAACTGCTCTGTTGGGCCTGGCCCCATGTAAGCTGCCCCAAGTCCGTTTGTGAGATGGAGGCGTGGTATAAAAATTAAGTTGTTGTTGTTGTTGTTATTATATCATTATCATTATTATGAATAAGAAGTAGGAAAATCACCTTCAAAGCACCCCCCCCCCCCACACACACACACAAATGGCCACCCAGCCTCTGGATGAAGGAACCTCCACTACACCTTGGGGCAGAAGGAGCCTCCACTACACCTTGGGGCAGAGAGTTCCACTGCTGAAAAACTCTCTTTAGATTAGATAAATTTATGCTTTAATAACTTTGTTCATTTCCAAAGTGCTATACTTCTCCTATATATTTTGCTGCAACAGATGAAACAAACTATTTTATGTAATGTAAAGCATTCCAAAGTCACTGAAAAATGTCACAGTGCTATTTATTTAAGAGCTTGAATCGAACAATGGGAATTAGAAGTTGATTGGCTTTTGAAGTATTTTTACTGAATGGGAAATATTATTGTAAACATACATTGAGTTTCATGTTTGTCAGCCTGGGCAAGCATTTTAAATTCTGTCACCCCAAAAGGTCTGGGAATTGCGAGATAAATTCTTGTATGTTTATGTATGCATTTGATGTTCTTTATGTTTCGTATCTCTAATTTATTTTACAGTTCTCCAGATACTCAGCACTGCTACTTGGAATGATCTATGGAAAGAAAAGATATGGTAAGTGGATAGCCTAACTTATAATTATACTTTTATGCATTTTCAATATTTTATACTTGCCTTTTGAAATCTGCATTGTAATTGTGAAAGAAGATAATTATATTCTTTTGGGGGGTAAATGTGTGAATCTGAGTGGACTCAACATATAGAAGTGTGGCTGTTTTACTGTTGTATCATAGATAGTCATTTGTGTCTGTCTTGTCAATATGGCAATACGTTAGGTGGCTTGGGTCACTTAAGTAGTTAAATAAGAGAATATCTGATCCCTTTAATTATGTGGAATACAGGTATCGGTCAATTACGCAATTATTGTTGAATAGTTGATTTCAGAGGTTCCTATATTTTGGGCAATCAGTTTTTACCTTCAATATGAATGTTAGCAGTTTCTCGTAGATGCTTCTGTAAAGTCTTTTGAAGCTATTGTAGAAAGTGTTTTTGATATGTAGAATGGTGAAAATTACAAAGTAATTTGAAAAGAGTTCATATTAGTGGTAGAAATTGTGAACCTAAGTGAGAGCTTTTCACTACTACGCTTGCAAACTTTGTGTTTTGTCTGTTTGTTTTGTTAAAAATGTAATACAAATGTCTGACACGATAAATAAATAAATAATACTACTATGTTTATGACATTGCACTTCTTGACCTAAGCGGAAAGCAAAGGCAAACCCATTGTGAAAAAAAATAATATGAAAACCACATGAGTGTTCACCTTAGGTTGCCATATATTAGAAATGATCTGAATCATAAGAACAGGGAATTTTATGTCTGTTGCTTTGTTCTGTATGTACACACTGGTGACTGATGTTATCCTTGTGAAATTAACCTATCACTTGCATGACTCAGTATTTCTAAAAATTCAGAACAGGGCCAAGAATTGATTTCAATTTATGCCAAATCCACCTAAAATTCTTCTGCAAAGACATCCAATAGTCTTCATTGATTGCATTGACTAAGGAAGTCTTATATTGACTGTGTTGGAATGATCTTTGTGAATATACAGTGAGTTTGAAAAAATATTTTCTTTACTCTGACAGACTACCTGAAACCTATTGCTGAGGAGGAAAGGAGGATAGAAGCAGAGGAGAAAAAGAAGCGTGAAGAAATGGAACGAATTGCAAAAGCACTTGCCGAAGGTATTTTTTTTAAGAAAACGAGTTGAATCTTGTTCTCAAAACAGATTCAAAGATGTTTGCTCTTTTATCTTAAAGCATCACCCTGCTTGCTAGGTCATTTGATAGCTAGTCTCTGAAAAGGTGGACCTACATTAAACCTTGTGACAAGAAGTTAGGACTTCGAGAGGCAGATTTCTCTTGAAGACCAGTCCTCACCCCCAATGGTTAATTACAAAGAGGAAATGGCATGCAACAAGATGCATTTTTATTATGTATTCTTGATGGCTCTCTCAAAAATTATTTACTCTTTTTAAAAAGTGAACCTACTATTTGATTAATTTTTTGTACAGTTCATGTCCAGATTTTTGAATTGCTTAGAATTACATCCAACTTCTCATTATCAGATTTTTCCTTGTCTGTTCCCCACTAATCTTCCCCTGAGGGTCCCACCTTTTAGGAATGAATAATTTTTGGGAGCTTCTTCTGGCATAAAAGTATAATATGATTCCAGTTCAGTGACAAATAAGGATAATCGGAAATGTGGGAAACATCACTATTGTTTCAGTGTGCCTTCCCAGAATAAGGAAACTCCCAGCAATATGTCCCTAAACGCTCTTTATTAGTGATTTAAGATTGTCTGCACACTTATCCTTCTCCAAAAACTTCTATCTCAGTTCCATGTCACCTTGTCATGCCCAGCATTATTTTTTTAAAAAATTTAATTATTACATTTGGCCCAGCCATAGGTTTTTAAACGCATCGTGTTACTGTTAATGTTTATTGCTTATTTTTGCTTATGAGTTATTTATTGTTGTGTTATTGTTGTTATTGTTTATTGTTGTATTGTGGGCTTGGCCTCATGTAAGCCGCATCAAGTCCCTTGGGGAGATGGTAGCGGGGTACAAATAAAGTATTATTATTATTATTATTATTACTATTATTTCTCATTATTTTTGAAGAATTACATATTTTTGAAGAATTACACTTTGATCATTTGTCAACTAAATTATTATCAATTAATGCAAATGATACTTATAGCTTCCCATTATGGATTCTGCATAGTTTTTTGAAATAGTCGATAACAATGTTTAGAACACCTTTGAATTTTGTATGGTGATCCTAATTGTTTCATTCTTTCATTTTCAGCAAGTGAAGATACAATACTGAAATGAACCTGCTCATCCTTTCCTTCAACTTTAATATCCATTGTTTGAAATACTAAAATAGATAAATCCTGTCAAATAAATTTACATCAATAAAACACTTTCTGTCAATAGCTCTCAGGGTTTTTTTTACTATGCACAGTATACATTGGAAACAAAGAGCATAAATTCAACTCCTACATATTTATCTGGAAATCGATGTTTTGACATCACTCATCAGGAAAATCAAGCTGAATGAAAAGTGGTAGATGGCATATGGTCTGTATCTCAAAAATGAAAGCTGATGGGGGAAAACATGGTTTGGAATCAGCAGGTCAAAGATATCCAGAAACAGGACTAACATTTGCGGCACCAAAACGCAGTAAAAACAAGATGTCTTCTAAGGAAAATATTTAATCATGGGTTCTTACTGTCATCCTTTTCTCCATTCCCAACTATCCAGGATGCAGCTAATGGCGGTACAATTTTGGCAAGATGGGAACTCAAAAGAATTGTAGTGGGTGGATGGTGTGTTTAGATAAATCTTAGTATTGCTGGTTTGCACCTGTATTCTGAACTCCCTCCTTTTAGCACACTTCAGCTCCATTTCAAGGACTAAAGGCAACAGAAGATGGCTGGAACAAGCAAAATGTCATGTGATGGGCTCCGTACCCCTTCAACCTTGAAGTGGCTCTAAACTGTCCTACAATGAGAAAACACTCCATGTGATGTCCTGAAATATCATTCCTTCACCACAGATTAATTCTTTGGAACAGTGTTAATTAATGCTGAATTTAGTATAAGAAATCCCCAGGAGTGACTATTTAATGCTTTCCAATACTACACATGTTCTACTAGTCTTTTTGACTCTTGCTCATCCTTGCTCATCCTTGGAGCCCCCGATGGCGCAGTGGGTTAAATCCCTGTGTCGACAGGACTGAAGACCGACAGGTCGCAGGTTCGAATCCGGGGAGAGCGCAGATGAGCTCCCTCTATCAGCTCCAGCTCATCATGCGGGGACATGAGAGAAGCCTCCCACAAGGATGATAAAACATCAAAATATCCGGGTGTCCCCTGGGCAACGTCCTTGCAGACAAGCCAATTCTCTCACACCAGAAGTGACTTGCAGTTTCTCAAGTCACTCCTGACACAACAAAAAAAAATCCTTGCTGAACAAAGAACCGTTTGAGTGTCATTACAGAAGGGATGGCTTTATGGATAGTGCTGGTAAAATCATAATGTAAAAACTCTGTATTAATACCAAACCAGCTCTTGAGTGGACAACGTAAATGATTGAAACTGCATCTGCCCTCTATTTCTCAGGGTATCTACAACAATATATAACACGGTTTTTGTTCCTTTGTTATAAATTTTATTTCCTAATTGGTTTCATTATAAAAACACAGAAAACTGCAAAAAAAACCTTTGTTCTTGTGGGACATGCTGCAGTGCATTTTGCTATAGTTTTTCAATGACTATCTCATAGGGTCTCAACCAATTCAACATAGTTTGTGGCAGTCACAAAAATGAAGTTTCTGAAGTATAACAACTACTCTCAAAGTAAGTACCTCACAATTAAACAGGAAAGAACCCTTTCAAACCAGGAACAGAAAGAAATGGTTATATAGTGTAATCTGTGTGAGAGAAGACAGATGCATGTTAATATCTGAAGCTAAGAGAAAGGCAAGTGTGAGGGGAGTGAAAGCTATTTTGCTTTATCTGAATGCTGTCCCCTCTAAATTTCTTGTCCCTTCACTGGTGTGCTTGCATCAGAGAAACCAGCCAAACATAGAAAGATCTATGTTTCATTGCCAGAAATTCTGCACATCCAAAGCAAATCAACCCACTCTCATCAACAAAGGAAAACCTAAACACAAAGATGGATTCACACTGCACCAATCACTCAAATTGCAGTCCCAACGTTGGACTAGTGTAAGACTGGCCTTATATTTATGCTGTATAGAGATCTCGTTTTATGAGGTCATTGTACTCATTTTTAGGTTTTATTGTAAATGTTTCTAATTATCTCTGGAAGCATAAATGTGTCCCACACTGGTAGAAAAGAGTATTGTGTAGTTTGCAGTCGACCTAAAGGACAGTTGTATCTGTCAAGTAGGAAATTTAGGTACCACTTATGCAGGGAGGCTAATTTATGACGCCATAAAAATCTCCAGCAAGCTTGCAAAGAATGAGGAAGTACTTCATCAGTGTCACAAATAGAAGGTGAAGTGACAGCTCCCATGGTGGCCAATATACCCTCATGAAAAAAGCTGGAATATTACTAACCTCTGTGTGTCTGTCTATATATGTTGTGTGTCTATGGCATTGAATGTTTGCCATGTATATGTACATTGCAATCTGCCCTGAGTCTCCTGCGGGGTGAGAAGGGCGGACTATAAATACTGTAAATAAAAAAAAAATGAAATAGCCTAAGCAATGGCAAACTACTTCTCTCAATGGCCCCTTCTACATTGCCCTATAATCCAGATGATCAAAGAAGGCAATCCACATCTGCTTTGAACTGGATCATATGAGTCATAAAATGCATTTCAAAGCAGATAATCTGGATTTTATATGGTAGTGTAAAAGGTACTTGAGCCTGGCCCTGCTGCTGATGATTATGATGCAAGCAGTGATGATGCTTCTACTATGATGCCTTCATGGTTCATTTGGAGGTGGGTCAAGCTAAGGAGAGAGAAGCAGGCATAGGATTCCCATAGAAACAGCTCGATACCTCTGATGGTGGGAAGGACGGGATGAACAAAATGGGGAATAAGAAAAGATAGATAACATATACTCTGTTAAAACGTATTATATAGAAGTATATGGAAAAACAAACTGCTTATTTTCCTGCCAAGGTGTCAAAACATCACCTTTCCAGATGAGCTTGCTGTATTTCTCATTCATTTATCTCTTATCAGGAAAACTGAGAGAACAGAATAGTCCTCCTGCTCACACCAGTCAAAAAATTATATAAATAGTATATGGGATAAATTTGAAAAATGCAAAAAAAAGAAGAAGAAGAGATGATGATGATAAGACAGGTAGTTGAGATGAGTTCTAGAACAAAGTTGCACAGTTTGAAATTTACTGGAAGAAGGGAATCCAGAAGGTGAGGTGGTGTGTCAGTATTTCCAACTGTCAACGTCTTTTCCTAACTTTGCTTAGGTTTCAGGTTTCTCACAAGTTTCAGAAAGTAGCAAATAAAAATTTGATATAAGGTAAAGAGTAAAGTTGGCTTTGGGAAAATAAAGCATATATGCAGCGAACTTCATCAACATGTCGGTAGGTCTCTATGGAGTAAGTTTTGAAATGGATGTTTAAAGTTGTATTTATTGACTCTTCATTTGGATGTATCATCTTTGTAGACTTGAAACATTCCCATGATTAAAGAACTGTAAATCGATTTATTAAGGACAGATAAACATGCGTGTTCTGGAAGTCATTGGGACAAGTGAAAGTACTTTAATATTTCATGGTAACCAACGTCTATGTCGTATTTGGCTTGCCTTTCTAACTATAGTACACGGTGAAAGATCCTTATAGAAAGGAAACAATAAGCCAAGGTAACCATTTCTTTATTATTATTCTTTATTATTATTATTCATTAAAGTCTGTAACTTCAATTCTGTGCATGGCTTTCAAATAACCTGCTCCTATTTTTATCTCATTAGAGTTTTTTAATCGTTTTATCCCATACATGTGGCCCTCCCACTGTTATTGTGATTATGTTTATTGGAATGTTATTTTGTTACTGTGTTTTATACTTTTTTAAATGTAATTTTGATGATGTTGCTTGTTGTTTATGTTTCTGGTTTTATTTTGCTGTAATATGTTGTCCAGGCTTGGCCCCATGTAAGCCGCTCCGAGTCCCCATTGGGGAGATGGTGGTGGGGTATAAATAAAGTTTATTATTGTTTATTATTATTTTGTCAGGACAGATTGCAGTGGTTAATTATTTCTCCATTCAAAGCAAACACACTGGGACAAAGAAAAACAGTAAGAGACAAACGGAAAGAAGACGTGGAACTCAACTTCAGAAATTGGCTGGAAAAAGTAAAGGTTAGATTCTAGTAAAATAAACTCCAATACAGCAAGTAATTTACTGAAAAGAAAGAGATAACTGATTACCTTTCCTTTACTGCTAGCTGAGCTCTCCAAGTAATTATGATGTTTAACATTTGTTTACTCACATATGGACTGCTTTCCAGGTTAGAAAGAGATTTGAAAAGGTAGTTTTTTTCAACTAAAAGTAAAATTTTAAAATTTTAAAATTTTAAAATCTAAACAGCAAATAGTACAAAATCTCATGTGATTTGAAGGCTGGATGACAGTTGTTAAAATGATTCAAGAAGAGAGAAGTGTGACAGGGTCACATATGACCATCATAAATGTGAAGGTAGGTCCTCAAATGGTATTCTTTCCTGCAAAAAAGTAGACTAGTGTAATGTGAAAATTCATGAAATGGCTAATATGTCAATGTTTATGTCAATGTTTGATGTTTTTGTATAGTTTTAAATGGTTTTAATGCATGTTACTGATTTAAATATGTTACATATTGCTTTTATAGTACGTTCGGCATTGAATTTTTGCTATTTCTTATGTTTGAGTTCCCCCAGGTGTGAGAAAAGTGGTATAGAAATGCAATAAATAATAGACAGGATAAATCAATAATGTGTTATTCACACATTAAACTTATAAGTAGGAAGGCAATTCAGAGGTAAGAAACAATCTTCATTTCTTAAAAAGAGAAGTTTACAGTCTGGGAAAAACTGGGGGAAAGGGGGATCCAGCAGATGAGGTGAGTATGTAAGTATTTCCAGTTGCCGAAGTCTGTCCCTAAATTTGCCGAGATATTTTACTCCAAAAATGAGATTTCAGGCTTCTGGCAATCTTCAAAAAGCAGGAAATATGTGACAAAAATCTGACGTGCCTCTGGAAAAATAAATACCTCTCCAGTGAACTTTACCAATATGTTGGTAAGTCTCTATGAGGTAAGTTTCTTAATTGGAAAAAAATAATATCTCAAAAAATTCTCAGTGGTGAAAGGTTTGTTTTTATTAGTTTGTACTTTTATATAACTTCTTTTGTAGAACTAAATGAGATTTCTCTTATTTTAAAAGTACTGCAAA